CGCCCGGCGCCCAGCCTACTCTACTTATCCTACCCTGTCTCTTATACACATCTAGATGTGTATAAGAGACAGGTGTGTGTGTGTGTGTGTGTGTCATACCGAGCGAGCGAGCGAGCGACTGACCGAGCGACCAAGCGACCGACCGAGCGACCGACTGAGCGACCGAGCGACCGACCGAGCGATCGACCGACCGTCCGTCCGTCCGTCCGTCCGTCCGTCCGTCCGTTCGTCTGGCCGGTCGGTCGGTCCCCTTTTTTTTTTTTTTTGTCTGTCCTCATCGGGGGATATATGTTCTCTCTCACCTCACATATTTTTTAACTGCCGTTCTGCCATGTCATGGAACATATCTTTTTCCCTTCACGACCGACCACTACTCCTAAGGCTATACAGGGGACCCCTGCAAGCATAGTTTTCTACCTCTCTTTGGTGAAGCGAGGTTACCTGTTGCAGTGGAGGGAGGTAAGGGGCAAAATATTTTTTTTCGGGGTGGGCCTTGAACGAACCGAAAAAAATGAAAATATAAAATAATCTGGACCTACCGGACCAGACATCTGCACGGAGGTCCAGACTGGGTTCTGGACGTCCGCATCGTAACCATGGTTCAAATTCCGAATGTCCAGACTGTTAATAAACAGGTGATGAGTTCAAACTGCTCTGGTGGAATGAACCCGACTTCAGAAGCGGCTTACGTCCTCTTGTGCAGCCCATGTGGCTGAACCATACACACAGGTAATTGGTAATGAACATGTCATGAGTTCGAGTCCAGCTGGATATAGCCAGGTTAGAATTTGCAATATGCTCAAACCAAATGACGATAAATCAAAATGAGATAGCAATGATGCGGAAGGAAGGAGGGAACAAAGGCGTTACAAGAAAGAAACTCCAGCTACTTATGAGAAAATTTGGTAATGTTTTCCCTTTGGAGCTGCTTGGACTATGCAAACGAAATGTCGATTAGGAACTCCGTGTTGAGGCTTTCAAGTTTTCACTCATCATTATGATACATGGAGGTGTTCAAGAGAAGTGAACCTTGCAACCATTCACAAGCTGAAAGAGTAGAGGAGTTTGGATTTTATTTTGAGATTGAATGACCATGTTGCCAATCCAGACTGATTCGCTACTTGTTTGCACTCTCTCTCTCTCTCTGTCTCTTTCTCTCTGT